TACTTTCCATGATGCCAACCCTTCCCTCCTTTTTGTGAGGCCATCCAAGCTTGCCGTAACAAAGCATCATGCCAGCAGTAAGGGAGAGCTATGCAGATCGTTTTGTTTGCAAATACGGGGCTCGCCACAACTCCCCCGCCTTCTTTCAAAGTCATCCATGCTTCATTTTCTCATCATTTTCATGACTTTCATGATTTTCATGATATTCCTTGATCTTCATGATATTTTGCGATTTTTCATGACTGTTCTTGAAATTTCATGTTTCATGATATCTCATGATATCTCATGATATCTCATGATGTATCATGATGTATCATGATGTATCATGGTTTTCCCTTGTTATTTATAATCTTTCATCAGCTTCAATATTTTTTGATGAATTTTCATTATTTTCATGATTGTTCATCATGTTTCATGATTGTTCATTTTCAAGACTCTTCATGATATTTGTTGATTGTCATGATTTTTCATGGGATTCCATCATTTTTCATTGTGTTAATGATTTTTTGTCAATCTTCACAGTTTTTTGCTCCAGAATCGCGCTCTCGCGTGAGGCGTCCTTCGATTCCAGGCCGCCAGCCACCCCACCCAAGAACAAATCACAAAAACAATACGACCAAAAAACTCACGCCCAAATAACCTGACGACCCTAGGATTCCCCTGATGGGCAAAACACGTTTGCTTACTCCCCTATGCCGAACGACATCCCCATTTCTGCCATTCAAACCTCGATTTTTTTCGGCAACAGGGCGCCAGATTTGGTTTGCCTAATTGCGAAGCCAAACATTTTGGGTTTTGGATGTGCTTGAACATTTGGTTGTATTTTTGCATGTAGATAGTCTTTTTCCCAGTTGAAGTGAACAGCGTTTCAGCATCAGCAAGAAACCAAACTATCGATAACAGACACGGCGCAACCAAAGCGACGTACAAATCCGAGCTGATGCCATTGACATTGTATTGGTGATGTAGACCAAATTAGCACCATTGTGAAGCAGCTGGTGCAAGCGCCGCCGGAGGTGTCCATTGTGGTGTTCGTAGCATGTTGTCTTGCGTTCAACGGCTTCACGCCGTTCAGTGTGAGTCACATTCGCCACATCGCAGTACCTCGGTAGAAACCTGGCCATCTACCGGAGCTTGTGGGTTGCTGACCTGGAAAACTTGCTTCAGGTGATGAGCCTTCCAGCATGCCGGAGCTTTAGTGTTGATGAACTTTTGCTATCGTCATGAAAGCTCTGGATGCAGCAGAGATGCTGGAGGCCAGAGACCTCCAAATCGTCTGCCAATGGCTCAATCTTGTGGAGCATGTGCAGCTGTGAGATGCTTTGCACTCAGGAGGAAGTGGAGAGGCTAAGACAACAGCTATTGCTTGAACGCAGCAGGAGAGTTTTTCAGACCAGAAATCACGGGGTACTGTCGTTTGTGCGATGAGGATTGCCGAGCAAAGTGCTGAAATCGCCAGACTGCGAGGTGGTCTCCTCGATAATCATTCGTGCAAATCATGATGCTGCAATCTGTGAAATGCCGCCTTCATCGGATCAGACAAGGTGCCGTGACTCCACAACAGGCCAAATCCGAGCAGGTGACTCGTGTTTTTTAACTGCGAGTCTTGCTTGGATGCTGCTGTCTAGAGACGGAAAGTGAACGGGGCAGGATTGGGATTCTACCGTGCCGCGTGAGACGGCCAGGGAGGAGCTCGTAGCACGTTAGTCGAACCAGCGAAATCATGGCTGCGCAGGAATCTCAGCAACCTATTCCGGACAGTCTCTGGCGGGAGCCCCCAATGCTTGACAAGGCCAGAACTGCAGGTGCTCGCACAGTCTCCGCCTGTTTTGGGTGTTGCGAGGCTGCGGAGTTGGCGTCACGTGAGAAGCATCTTGGCAACACAGATTCTTCATGACTAGTTTGGCGCGTAATGTATCTGCCGGGTGCTGTCTGTCTTCCTGGCAGATGACAGACCCATAGCAAGTGGACTGCTACAACTTCCTTGTTTCAGGGGCGCAAATGCTCTGCGGCTTCATGACCTTAGAATCCTCAGAAAAGCACATGTCACATTGCAAAGATCTCTGCCCAAATGGGGAGCAGCATTGAGAGCCTTGCAACTTATTGCCCCGCATGGCGTTCGGCCACGAAGAGGCAATGGCATCGCTAAAGGTTTATCTGCAAGAAGAGTTTCATGGGCTTCGACGAGAGCTTTCTGCCTTGTTGGATGAAATGCATCAGGCCAAAGCACATCCACATGAAGGTGGCTTGATGTCGTTTGGGATGCATAGCATGTCTATGGCAAGCAAGATGAGCAAGAACATGTTCACAGCGGCCGTGGGCGAAAAAGTCAGGAAGCTTTCCGCAGCGGCTTCTGAGGCCCCTCCGGTTGTAAGGCGGCTCTCGCTACCAACTTCCTGGAGTGGTACTTTCACAGAAGACCAGATTCGTGATTTGGCTGCGTTGAAGGCTTCGCAGGCTGCACCGGCTGAGTATTGCCTGGACACTGCATCAAGCAGTGAAGCAGGTGTTGAGGAGTTGATCCTTCCAGCTGATGTGCCTGGCATGGTACACGACTCACCCGCTCCGAAGCCAGCTGCAAAGACGGAGGAGGATACCCGCATCCCAATTGGGCAGGCCAGCGCCAGCGAAAGCGAAACAGTGCAAAGAAGCCTCTCGAAGAAGGATGTGTCTTCAAAGTGGGTGCAGGGTCTTGATGCTGAAGATGCAAAGTTGAATCTTTTCGAGCGGAAGAACGAGACAGTGGGGATGCTTGGACGCGGGATGGGCCTTGTAGCAGGAGCAGAGGGCATCCACACGAAAGTCTTCCGCTCAGGTTTCCACCGCAGATGCTATGCTATAGCTACAAGCAGCACTTTTGAAATACTGACCATCTTGTTGATTTGCTCCAGTGCGCTGCAGATAGGCTTCTCCACAAATGATATGGCTGAGAGGTTAGTCACGGAGACTGCACAGGTGCATCGCACCTTGGAGGTGACCTACTGCGTAGTCTTCACCTTGGAGCTGGGCATTCGACTGGTGGCACATCGATTGGAATTCTTCACGCAGATGGGCTGGGCTTGGAACGTGTTTGACCTTTTGCTTGTGGGCTTTCAGCTCATGGAGGAGGTCCTATTGGCGCTGTCTGGCCCCGATCCCACTGCTCCCGTCTTACAGCAGGTGTCTCCGACGACGCTTCTGAGAATAGCACGCGTTCTGCGTGCCATTAGGGTATTGCGGGTGCTCCGTATTGCCTTGATGGCAGAGGACTTGAGGCTACTTGTCAGCTGCTTGCTCTACTGCTCGCGTCCCTTCTTTTGGACCTTTGTGCTTCTGGGATTGATGATATACATCGCAGGGATTTACGTAACACAGTTGGTCCTTTTCTACCGCGTGGAAAACGAGCAGGGCGAAAGCCTGGCAACGTTTTTCGGATCAGTGCCACGCTCGATGCTGTCCCTTTTCGAAGCTATGACCGGTGGCGTGGACTGGGATGCATTGGTGAGTCCCATCTTTGAGCTCAGCTCGGTGGTTGGCGTTGGTCTTCTTTCGTATATAGCCTTCACTATCATCGGAGTCATGAATGTGGTGACAGGTACCTTTGTGCAAAGTGCCATCACACGAGCCGAGGAGGTGAAGGACGCACAGCGGGCCATGAAAGCGAGGAGGCTCTTCAAGTCTCTGGATGACAACCAAAGTGGGCAGATATCTTACAATGAGATCTTGAACCACACTAAGGACCATGCTGTGCAAGACTTCTTTAGAGATCTTGATGTCGAGCCTTCTGAAGCAAAATTTCTGTTTGACATGCTGGATATAAACAACAGCGGTTCCATTGACTTTGAAGAGTTCTTAAACGGTTGCATCAGGCTCCAGGGGCCTGCCAAGGCCATAGACATGCTCGTGGTCACGCGCGAAACTCGCATGGTTTATGATCACTTAAGTCAAAACCTGCAGCGACTTCGTGCGGAGCTGTTAGTACTCAGCGAACGCCTTCTCGGTCTTCCCCAGGGCTCCAAGGATTCATCGGAGCCATAGAACGTGTTTCGAATTCACTGCACGTGAAGTCTGGCAGTCTTTGAGCGTTGCACTTCCAGAGGAAGCGTTAACAGCTTGTGTCCGAATTTAATTTCTGCGCTTGCAGCAAGCAGGCAGCCTGCATGTATTTACGATGTCCAAGACATGGTTGACAGTTGAGCTGCCTGACGATGTTGCAGGAGCATGCAAAATGGAGCTTGGTTCTGTTGAGCAAGCCAATGTCCTGTGGTCATCTACAGTAATCTACAGGACTTCGGGTCGTGGCATCCTCACCTAAGGCGGGAGGCCACAGCTCCGGCGGCGACTCCGGCAGCCCAGGAGCGGCAAAGAGTGCCTCAGAGTGCTCTTTTGTAGCCTCAAGCGGATTTCCTCTCTCTCACCAGGCTGGCCCTGGTCCACAAGCCCTGAAGGCTGAGAAGGACCGAAAGAGAAGATGCTTTCTCCGCTGCACCGCTGCACCTCTTGCCATCTTGCTGTGCTGTGAGCCTGCTTGCAGGACAGCACGATAACAGCCCGGCGCCAAGCTGAGGTTGATTAGCTCACATCTCGCTTTCACCTGCTGTAGGTCAAAACAGGAGATCAAGAGATCGTGCTGCAAATCAGCAAGGCCAGTCAACACCTGCTTGCTCACACAGAAGTCAGCCGTGCAAAGCAGGAGACAACTCTCAGCCCTGTTCCTCAAGCAGGTCGGGGCCAAAGACTTGAATATGTTCCACGGTCAGAAGATTCCGAATGCACTTCGACTGCTGAAGTGGAGCCTTTTAGGAGACCAAGTTCGCGCTGCAGGTGACAGTGTTGACGCCAACCTTGCCAGGAACTTGGTAGGAAATTCTTGATGACTTCCTGCCTTGTGGTTGGTTGTGCTTGCAGGGCTTGGTGGTGCATTCGGCTCACAGAAATTGGTGGCACCTGTTCCCCAACCCCACATTCGTGACCGAACTTCCTGTTTGCGCTCGCCATGGTGTTGAATTAGCTTTCTTCTGATGATGACATTGGTTCGACTCCTCGCACTGACCCTGACTACTGCAACTGCGGATTCGACTGGAGATGCCCTTGATCTGGCTGATTTATTCCTCCTACAGGTTGCTGCCCAGACGTTCAACTCGAGCGGAGTCGTAAAGCATGTGCAAGATGCCCGGAATCAAAGCCATTTGACTGCCACGAAGAGCTTGCTCAGTAATGGCACTGTGCTGCGGCTGCAAGGCAAGCAGCCCCGGAACACAAGAAAGGACAGCGATGGAAGCCAGATTGTTCAGGACCAGCTAGGTCTGAAAGCCAATAGCGCGGCAGACTCAGAAGCCTTGAGAGCTTCCTTCTTTTTCAATGTGGGTCTGATTTCGGCCTACATGGCAGGATTTGTGATACTGCAACGGTGGAAGCCATTGGTTTATCTGCATAACACCATGACTCAAAGGGCACCGGAGCCTCATCCATCCTGGTTTGGGATCTGGTTGGAGGCAGAAGAGGTGGAAGAGTATGCCGGACTGGATAGCGCTTTGATGATTGAGTTTTGCAATCTTGGGATGAAGGTCTGCGCATATTTGGGACTTCCGCTTTGTGCAGTGTGCCTCCCTGTGTACTACGTTATGGGCAAGCATCCCGGTCTCCTGTCCGCACTTCAGCCAGAGCTAGTGTGCTGTGTGCCTAGTAGTACGTGTCAGCATAGCCTCGGGCTTTCGAACTTCTTGCTTCACCACAGCCCGCAAAGCTTTAAGCTCCAGTACATCAAAACTGAAAAGATGGCACCCCTGAGGTGCAAACGCAGCCACCTGCACCAGCGCTGTGCAGTTTGCCCCTAGAAGTTCACTGGATCTATTCACCATCAGCTCGTTGAGATGCAATGGGCTGGCCATGCGCACCTTGGCATGAGTTTGTGCCCATGCGCCTCACCCAACCTCAAATGCAAGCCGTTGGGGCGCGCTCAGGCTGGATCTTGGCTGGTGTCACATGGATCGTGGTTTGGGCTGTTCAGCGTATGTTGCGCCAGGCCCAGAAGATGCCTGTTCGGTTCCAGCAAGATTCTTTTTGCAAAGGAAGAAGGAAGCCGCTGACGCTGCACCCGAACAATTTGGTGTATCCAGTACTAGCCATGACAACCATGGCAGCAGCTTGAGATATTACTTCTCATGCAGAAATAGCAAACTCTGCACACTAACATACTCTAACCTTCTTTGAAGCTTCCAGCCGTCTTGCCACATCTGGCAAAATTAACAAGAAAGACACTCTGCTTGCTGCGCTGCATGCGCAGCCTATTTCTCGAAGCCAAAGATGGAACAGGTTAACATTCGTCCACCGATTTCCGATGTAAAGGGACACCAGGGGGGACTGCTGTGAAGCTTTCTAACAAGAAGCATTGGGCTGGAAACCTTTCAAACTGCTGGTGGACCGTCCTCTGTATGCGCCGCCTTGCCTTGTACTTATCTTGTGGCCCCTCCGTCGTGGGTTCCATTATGGTCTCATGACATGTGAGGGTTTATGTAGTCACTGACGATGGATCACATCTGGACCGTTGGCTCTTGCATTGTTTGCTGTGAACTGGTCTCATGGTGATTGCGTTCACGGCGTGCTGCAAGCGTATAAGTCACCATCGGCCAGCCAGTGGTCCACCAGCAGTTTGAAAGGTAGAGATGCCTGTTTCGTCAACTTAATCATATCGAACCTTACAGCTCCAGTGCGAAGTACCGTCTTGACTGGGAGAAGCTTTCATTCATGCATACGCATGCGCAGAGCAAGGAAATTTGTTCAGCGTCGTGTTGCCTGGTTGCAGCAGCGTCCCAAGCCACAGTCTTCCACCATTCTGGTCACCAACATCCCGCCGAGTTACAGCCTCTCGGCTTCAGCTTCATGCTGGACTGGGAAAGGCATCAACGCTGGACTAAGGATCTGATTCAAAGCTGAAGGAATACTTTGATTATCTCTTCCCCGGCGGAACCATTGAAAGGGTGTACATTGTGAAGAGGCTCTCCTCTTTGGCAGCCTTGCTTGATGAGTTCTCAACTGCAGAACAAAAGTTGCACGAATCCCAGTACCTCTGGTTCCTGGCAAACAAGGACGCAACAGCTCAAACGACAGACGTGTCAGTGGAAACAGACCGCAAGCAGATTTTGAGTCAGGACCCAGCAAAGCGACCAAAAACGAACGTGCTTCAAGATGCGGAGGCCCGTCCCCGCGCAGAGCTCTCTTGCTTGCTCAACGGACTCAGAGTTATCCTTTGAGAGGCTGTGGACAGCATCGATCACTACACGGCGCTGGTGGAATTTGGGCTTATCAAGTGAGGCGATAGGGTGGTTTTCGTGTGCGTAGCATCAGAGGCTGAGCCAAGGCTGGGCTTTAGCATCAGCAGGTACACAAGGACAGTTGAACAAACGAACTCTTGTCAGAACACAGCCGAAAGGGTTCGGTACCTTGAAGCAGACTTGGCGCGAGAAGATGCTACGTGCAATGAAATCATCTGCGAGTATCAACTACTGCAAGTCTTTGTGCAGACTTCTCCTGCCTCAAGCTTACAATACAGTGTCACCCCCACAAGTAAGTACAGAAAAGAGATCCATCTTGTTGGCACTTTAGGAGAACAGGCCTTGTGTGATCAATTCTTGATCGTTCCGAGGAACATCTGCAGCGTCACATAGAAGGTGAGCGAGAGCAAATCCGTCGAGCAGACAGCTTCACTGAGGCCACGGAATAGAGACACAGCATGACCAGCCTGATCAAGAAGGAGCATTGCTTAAACTGGTGATGCTCGCTTAGGTGGAACTCAGCGGTGCCGCTGCGTTCGTGACTTTCAAAGCTTCCCGCGATGCGGAAATGGCCTTGCGATTACGACTGGAACCCGAAGGCTTCTTTGCAGCAAGAGCAGCTAACGGCTTCATTCCTTTACAGCGGTATGGTATTGATGGTATTAGCAGCCCTGCGATAAGGGACTGGGTCGGCTCCAAAACCCCTAAGCCCGACAGCTCCCGCCAAGCTCGTGGATGCCCAGTCGTATGGGCAGGAAAGAACCTGGCATGTGCGAGATCAAAGTGCATTTTCATTCAGAAATGCATTTGGGGCAATGGATCTGGTAACCATCCCACAAACCCTCGAAGCACCATCAGCATCAGTGACCGATATCAAACCTCAAATTATCATCAAACTCTGGCACTACCTCAGAAGACTACACTAGACCTGCATAACGTCCTTGTAGACCCTGGGGCCTAGCAGTGTCCAGCCTAGAATTGAGATACGGACCCCCAAACGACTCTAATGATGGGCAACAACGTCAGCATCAGTGGGAGCCCATTTCTGCTTTTGGATTTTCCTGTAGTTATTCCCAGCTCCATGTCATACTGAGCTTACAAGACTACCTTCGGACCTTCGGAGCTAGCTTAGAAACATGCACGCTAACGGCTAGCTTTAGCCCGGGTGTGCATCCGCACGGGATCAAGGTGGCAGAGCCAGATTTGAGGGTGGAGTGAAGAAAGAGACGCGCGTTGCTGGTGTGAGGGTCATTAGCATCATTGGGCCTCCGCTTCAAAAGCTGCCTGTTGCTTTGGAAACCCGGCTGGACCGAGGGGAGCGCAGCAAGCCAACGCATCAGCAAAGCTTAGGACTACGTGTGTTGATGTAAACAACTGCTTGTTAGGAAGAAAGGAGCCGTGTAGCTCACTTGTAAGCGTTGTCTTTCGATCAGGCTCTCTGGGTCTCGGGGCCAAGGCAAATGTAGGGGGCCAGCTCAATTTTTGGAGCCGATTTCTGCCTGGGAGCCTCAGCGCCTAGTGAAGTGCACGGCCTGGGGTCTTACTGAAAGTGAGGCTTCCGAACGTTTCTCTAAGTCTCTAAGGCTGTGGCTACCTGGAGAACTAAGGCAAGTGGCATGTTGACTGGGATAAGTGGCCTTCCAGTTCTGCTAAACGATGTGGCTTCCTGAATACCCGTAGAAGCGGACGAATTGTGAGGCCTCATGGGGGCAACCTCTTCGGGGGCATTGGGATTCCATGTCAGAAAATTATCTAGAGCGATTTGACTCGGATTTTTAGAGCCAGTTTCTCACGCTTTAGCGCCCATTTTCATCTTTTCAATTTTGAAATATCATTTTGCCACGTTCCATAGACAGCCGCTGTTGACCTTCCAAAGCACACAGTCACATAGCCATATGCTGCAAATCGAAGGTGCCCCTCTGCTAAAAGGAACGTCTGTTGGATTGAAACCAAGGAAGCTTCCTTTTGCTCCTTTCACCGGGCGTTGGGCGGGTGGGCGCTGTGTGGGCGCGCTCTGGGATCCAAAAAACGATCTGACTGCGGAGTAAAGAGTTTTTGATCGAACATGTGTTTGCCACATGCAGTGACAAAGGACAAGGGTTTCCATGCATTTCTACTTGCTTTGCAGTTTTGCACTTTTGCTTACATGAAGTTTCAGCCGCACCTATGGTTTCCTGCGGTGCTGGTCTGGCCTCATGTATTTCTACAAGCGAATTTGACCTCTTCATCAGCAAGACCGCAGTGTGCAGCGTGTTGCAGATGTCAGCTGTTAATTCGGAAGAAGCACTTGTGTGTATGTAACATGCCAGCGCACTTCATTGGGAGGCAGGGCGGGACATGTATCCCACTCTGATGTTTAGGCTCTTGAACCCCAGGTTCAGCTGCAGAGCCCTAAACAAAAAATTGATAGGGAGTAGGCATGTCGTCTACACTGACTGTGTGGGTGGCTCCTGTGACCACCTCCCTACAGCCTGAAATTCTGGGCTTCGCTGCATTGGGGCTTGGCATTTATCTGTTTGGGCTCTTTTCAGGCAGGCTTTGCCGTACATATCTCCAGCAGCAGAACACAGTGACAGTTCAGTTGCCTTCCGGCCTGAGGGTTCGCATGCCTGTGATGGCTGGAGGTTCTGTTGCACAACAGGACCGACACCACGTCAGTTTGGACAGGGTGCGCTGGTAGGGAGGACATGCAGGGTTGTTGTCAGCCTGGGCAGTTCGCAAGCTCCTTCTGCTGCTGCAGCCGCGCCTGTGTCTGCACCGGCCCCCAAGAGGAAGGTGAAACTGACCATTATAAATCAGACCGATGACCTTCGCACATGGGGGGGGCCATGTAAATTTGAGGCTGCTTGCATGGGTTCCAAACGGGCCGGTTGGAGAAATGAAGGTCCGATTATGCTGGGGGCTGGGGCTCATCCTGCTAAGTTGCTACAGAAACTTTTCTGCTCGACAAACCAGCCATGCACACCTGTAGCACAGAGATGGCTGTGGAAAGAGGAACGAGGAGACGGGCCCAGTCCCTGGGATTGTCAGGCCTGGTCGGGGGCTGGGCAGTATGGATAAGAGCCTGACTCAACGAAGTCTGACTTAGTTTGTGGTGCTCGCGCCTCCAGATCCAAGAAGTTGCGTACAATTTTTCTCACCCCAAGGGCCCCATCGCTTCTTTCGACAAGTTCTTTCATCCCCACTCACTGGTCTTCGAGCAGTCTCAGGGCGTACCGTGGCTTTCCAGCCCGGGGGGCTGGTTGTGGGAGTGTGCCTCCAAACCTCGTGCCTTCCCGCTTCAACTGGTACGGCGGCAGGACTGTCATGAATGTCCGAGGTCATCTCTTCAACATGGAGTACCCTCCCGTGCCGAAAGATGTGTCGTATGAAGACCTTCTTCGAACTCCAATCCAAAGGCCATGGACTGAAGAAGCTTCAAGCTTTGGACACTGTCATCTGAGCAATTTGTTTAGAAGATTTTGCGCTTGCCCTTCTTAGGCAACTTCTTCACCTTCTGGGGTATATGCTCATCTTCATGGTGTTCCTCTTCTTTTTCCCCTTGATCGGTGCAGCGTCTTCCATCGTCAATCTGGAGAATCTGGAGCGCATCGACTTTGTGCACCACCTGATCACCAGTTCTACATGGGTTCAGTCTGTCATGGAAGGTATCTTTGCAACGCTCTTGCTTTCCGTGTTCATGGCGTTTCTGCCGACGACCCTTCATGTGATTATTGGCAGTACATTTACCCTCAACTCCAAAGCAGAGAGTCAGCTGTTCTTGCAGCAGTGGTATTACTGGTTCCAAGTGATTTTTGTTCTGCTGGTGACCGCCATTGGGACTTCGCTGTGGCAACGGTTCGCAGACGTTTTAACGTCCCCGACTTCCGTGGTGCTTGACTTGGCGGGCAGCCTACCCAACACCTCTACATTTTACATGAGCTACATCATGCTGCAGTGGTCTGTGTCTGTCCTGCCACTTATCCAGCATCAGTTTTGCCATTCTGTTTTGGATTCAGTGGGTTCACAGTGCTCGGAATGACGTGGGCCCAGGAACATTCTGCGATATCAGAACTTGCTTAAGTTCCTTGCCTGGACAGCCGTCAGCGAGGACGAGCGTGCCAAAGAGCTATCTGAGCCAGAAGATCCCGACTATTATGGTAGCCTGGCTGAAAGTTTGTGGTCCTTTGCCTGAGGTAGCTGGTAGGAGCAGTTTTGGTCAGGCATCGGCTCACGGAGTGCACGGCTGAATGTGGTCCTGGCCATTTCGTTGGTCTTCAGTCTGTTGTCACCCATCGCCCTCTGGATCGGTTTCGCGTACTTCCTGATCAACCGCCTCGTCTTTAGTGTCTGAGCATGAAGTAGCCAACGAACACAGGGCACTTAGAACCAGCTCTGTTGATGTGCCAAATTGATGGGAATTGAGGTTACCTGGTAGTTTTTGCGGAGTCGCAGAAGCCAGACCTGGGGGGCTACTTCTGGGCTCAGCAGCTGCGGCATGTGCAGCTCACACTTCCCATCTTTGTCACTCGCAGTAGAAATTCAGCTGTCGAGTGCTTCTTGCGGAGTTAGATAAGGCTAATTCTCAGATGCCTGGGCATGGGCCAAGTCATGTGTTACGGCAGAGGCATGACAGACCAGCTTTCAGTTCTGTCCTCATGCGCTGTAAGGTTGTGGTGATGAGCGGATGCCTTTGGACAGAACCCTACGGAGGACCTGGAATTCTTGCCCTGGCCAGCATTCTGCTTTGGGGATTCGAGTCTTGATCCTGCAAGCTAGACTGCTACTGCCTGAATGATGGGCTGCGCGCCCAGTAGCAGGAAGCAACTGCCGGAAGCAGATCGGTTGTGTGCAAGAACACTCCGGCAGGCAGCTTCTGTTGTAAGAGCTTAGGAATACTCCCGATGGGCTGACATCCTCTGGGAGACGTTGTCCTTCCGAGCTGTGGTCGAGGGATCTGAGAAAGGCTGTGTAACCTCAGGTGAAGTCTATGTGCAACCCGAGCTCACGCGAGACTTGCGAATCACCTCCATTGCAGCATCCAAAGCTGGATAGCTTTGCCAGAAAAGTGACTTCCAGTCTGTGCCTGGTAATGCGTGAGAATCCAATACAATTCTATTCCTCCACAACCTGTAATGTTCAGCTTGGACCAAGAGTGAGGTTGATGCCAGCAACTTCAGCCAGCAGGCGGGATGCGAGCTCGCAGTGCGGAAGATGTGTTCGCGTTGCGAGAATGTGCTTCGCAGGGTGTTTCCAAAAGCAACTCTACGGATGTCATCGCGGATCTTAGTATGAGCCTTGGGGTCAGAGCTTCTCAGTGTGCAGGACGTATGTGACCTAAGGCAGAGAGAGCAGCGAAAAGAGCGCGACACAAATTACTGTGCGCTCAGGGCAGCCGAGTCCTTATCATGGCACTGTTTGTCCAAGTCTAAAAACGTGCCGCACCCCTGCAGTGGTCGCGGAGGTTCTGTTTAAACAAACCAATGCTCCGAATTGCTTTTCTTTGCGTTTTGTGCGCAAGATCTTTCCTGGAGTGAACGGTTGTGAAGCCAGCCGCAGAGCAGTCAAACTATCAGAAATAGGCAGTAATAGTCTCGAAAAGGACATTTCTCATGAATTCGGTGTGAGTTTGTGACAGGACCCTCATGAGCGGTCCTCTCATGCATTCATCTGTCAACCCCATCTCGGAAGAAGGGTTGGCCAGGAGTGGGTGCGAAAACCAAAGTCCACACAGGGCGGACTTGCGCAACCTCCCGAAGCATAGTAGGCAGGGATAGCTTTCCCTCATGAGATGTGGAAGGCTTCAATCTGAAAAGAGCCCCACCCCAAGAACCCCACGCACGCCTGTGAAGGCTTGAGTGGGGCTACTGTCTCTGCACTCACTCTGCTTCCTGAGTGTCTGTTGGGGGGCCTGCATGATTGGCCAATATGTCACTTGTGTTTCATGTGCGCAGAAAAGCGCAACCATGCTAGTCCAGTCAGCAGCGAGGCAATCAATTGTTATCCAAGTTCGAGACGGAAACGAGGAGGCAGGGCAAGACAGCTCCATATGCATTATCCACGTCTCGCCAGTCTGGGTGAAGATGCGTTTGCTAGCCAAGCTGGTCGAGGTAAGATTGCCTCCCAAAGATGTGGAAAGGGTTGCGGACAAGGACGTGCAAAGTTTTTAAAGGAATTTGGAGTTGGAGAAAGAGGCTTGGCTGTCCAGGAGCTACCCACGAACAGCACCTCCTCTGCAACCTTGGCCATACCGGAAGTAGAGACGGCGAAGGCCTGACACAGATGCCTGAGTGCTGAAGTTGTGAGACTCACCCGAAGAGGCGGTGCCTGAGCTACCAGAGCCTTCTGCAGTCCCTCAGCATGTGCAAAGCTCACGTCGTTTTCAGAAGTCTATGCCAGCTCATGTACGGTTGTGTCATGTCACTGAAAGGACATGGCTGCCAAACCTGACGGGCCTGCACTGAGAGGTGCATTGCGCGATGTCGCACCATATGAGCGGTCACAGCATCTATTTGGGCTTGCTCTCTGGGCTGCCTTGTCAGGTACCCTGAGCATTCCTGAGAGATCCTTGCCGGTTGACGCTGGGCTCCCTGCATCCTTGAACATCTGAATTCCTAGACTCATACCGAGAATTGTATTAGCGCACAACTTTCGACTTAGCAGAAATTCCTGCCATGGCTGCACTGGTTTGTCGGATGAAGTCACATCCTTGGACTTCGTGTGCACACATATTTTGCTTGAAGGAGGTGACAACGACAGTTAAGGGTTGCTCCCTCAGTCGGGCATTCGAGTCTGTGGTGCTGAGTCGCTTTTGCTTGGACCGAGTCTTCAGGCTACCCTGCCTATGCCAACCTCGCGCTGCGCACGCGCTGAACATATTCATGTATCCCAAGCTGCACTCTTCTTGTGTTCTACCAGCTTAGTACCTTTAAAAATCATGAATGGCTTTAAACTGAGAGGGTGTGCAGCGGGAAGTTAGTGTCCAATCTTCCTGAGGACAGGAAGCATGCCTTGCAAAGGCTCTCGATAATGATTCTGGCCTTGCGCAGTCGTCGCTGGCCTTACGAATTCAGCCTCTTCCACTTTCCGTGCAGCTGCTGGGCCGGCCTATCCTGCTCCAGAGCAGCCCGTGCGCCAATTGCACGTTGATGGGCACACGCAAGCATCTCTGTTTGTACTTGCCCTGGCCATGTTTCACAAAATTCAGGAGTCTTGCTGCTTGCCTTGTGGAATGCCTTGGTCCAGTACGCACACATACGCATCCTTTGAGTCTGGCTGCCCCATCGGACTAAACGGGCTCGAACAACAGTAGGTCTTGAGCTCAACATGCTGCCCTCAGCCACGGGATGTGGTGGGTGGGCATGACCGCGCCCGGGATTCTTGGACACATTTCATCAATGTGGCAGACTGATGTGAATGAGTTGCTTCTAAGGAAAGGAGGAGCTCCTTGTCACAGCCTTGGCTGGGCATCGTGTTTCTGTGTAGTGCTTGCCTGTTGTGGAAGGGTGCTGCTGTCCTTTTTTTGTGGCCGCGTCTGGTTTTTTTCGCTGAACGCCCGCGCCGTTCAGTCATGAGAAGAAGACTGCTTCTCTAGGCATCTCAAGTTTGTGTGTCAAGTAGGGCTTGAATTGCCTTCACCCAAGCCAGGTTCCATCATTCTTTGATCTCTTTATGCAACTTACTAAGCAAGTTTCTTAAATTGGCCGTGCCAGGAAGACTTTGGTGAAGAAAAAACTCAGACGTACATATATATATATATGTATACAGATATATGTACATATACATACATGAAACGGAATTTGAAACGCATTCAGCCAACAATTCACCGACAGGATAACCTGTCTGTGACTTTCAACCAGGGACTTTGTGCAAGAAGGATGGGGCTATTGCCGCTCGAATGCCGGCTGATGTGATCAGAAGATCTCAAGAGCATGCAGGAGAGCTGCGGCACGGAAACCAGAAGACAAACATGACCAAAGTTCTGGGGGCGTGCTGCATTTTACTGTTTGTGTGTTTTTGGCATGAACATCAATCTGAGCACCTTGCACATACATCACTTCGATATTGAGTGCAGGTGAATGTGCAGGGCATACCATCAACAGGTCTATCGGCACCTAGCAGGAACAGCAGTCCTGAGAATAGTTTTTTCCGCAGTCGTGGAAGTGCTGATGCAACAAAAGCGCGGTTGAAGAATCCATAACTTATGAGGGCATCGCAGTCTCTTCATTGAAGACTGCCACAATGTAACGGCACATCTGCAAACAATACTGCGGAAAGTAGCTGAGAAGCAGCTAGCTTTTCAGATTAGCCCCATATTGTCCTCAGTGTTGTTGTTTGCCTCGTTTTTCTTCCTGCGGAGGATATATGATATGGCAAAGGATTGGCAATCATGGCGGATTGAGAAGGAAACCTATACGGGCGAGATGCAAGCACGCCAGGTAGCTGGTTTTCATGGAAGGGGGTAAGTCATTTTTGGTCGATGATTGGTACATTCTGGTGGCCCGAAGCGGAGCAAAGACCATTTCGTAATTAGGATGATTGGAATCTGGGGCTGTTGAAGGGCAGAGTTCCAAAGCTGGGAAAAAGGAAGGTATGTCAACCCAAGACTAGAATCATTCATACAGAAGCAACGTATCCAACAGGCTGTGAAGGGACCTCCATGCGCCGTTACTCCGACGGTCACTAAAAAGTTTCCAAGAAACAAAGCCTGCAAGTATATCTCCTATCAGCAGCGGCAGCGGCTTAAAACGCAGTAAAAAAGGAACAATCTGCTTGCCTTTTTGTACGAGCAAATGTACTTGCCTGCAATGAGAACAACTCTCATGTCAGCAGCCAAAGGTTTCAGCAACAATATACCGCCCATGAATTAGTACGTCGGGTGCGTCTGAGGAAGAACAGGTCAACGGGTACCGACGCCGACATGGTGGCAATGGGAAGGCCCTCATCATTGAATGCAGTCGATTCCTGCAGCGCTTGACGCTTTAAACTCATCAAACTGGGCAGGCAGGAAGAGCGATGCCAAGTCGTTGCATGCCGGAAGGGGCAGGACATGAGCCTGCGCTTGCAACAAAAGTCGCTTTGCCATGTTACTTTGAGGGGTTGCCTTCAGCGGTAATTGACGCAGGCTCTTTACACCAGCAATGATGAACACTAACATTGCCAGCCAAGATTCAACAACCACGTGCTTTTTCTGTCACTGTCATGCTTTTTTTAGAATCCAACCATGTTAAACCTTCCCCCTCAAGCCCAAGAAAAGCATGTTATACTTGTCCCGCCAAGCCCAACAACAGGCCGATAGCTAAGCATGCAGGAAAATCACACCTCTCAGAGCCGGCTTCTATCATCTACCCGTGAGTCTTTTGACCCAAAATCTTGCCGCTGTGGCGAGGGGCCCAATGCCTAAACTCAATCTTTTCACAGGGCTTCGTCGTAGTGGCACTGGGTAGAGGAGCGTGCAAGGACCAACAATAGCATGTTGGGCCAAGAAGAAGAAGACGCTATTGTTGACCCCCCAAACAAGCGTGCCATTGTTGGCTCTCCGCGAGGTGAAGCCAACAATAGCATGTTATCTGCATGGTTCAAATATGGGATGCTCTTGTTGGCCCGTAGCATGCTGTTGTTGGCCCTGGCGCAGGCCGCCTTTGAAAGGTTTAGAAGCAATCCGACGTACCTTGTTCCGGAAAGCTTGGGCAAGGCGTGCCATATGCCATGCTGTTGCAAGGATGTGTCCAGCGGCAAGAAATTTGTCCTGAAGTCGCGCTCTAAGACCTGGGAGAAAGCTCTCAAATGAGCAAGTTCAACTTCACGTGTCAGGTCTGGCGATGTTGTACGAATCGGCCGTAGTGCCGACAATGAGGTAGCTTCTGAGCCATCGAACCTGCTCTGCCCCCTTGCACTTGCATCCAGGTGATCCTAGATTATGAGGGTGTTTCGAAGCACCACGTCGGCGTCTTGTACGAAGCATTCTGTCATGCTTTCTGTGCAGCAGTTGGGGACGAGGCTGAAATTTTCATGCGGCAGAAGCTTCCAGAGGAGGTGGGCCGCGCGTTTTTTCGTAACGCTTCAACGTAAACTGTCCTTTTTCATTTGCCCAAAGGTGATCCTTGGTTCGGATCTTCAGTCCATGCCCTAGTTTGGCTGACGATCCCCGGTTTCTGGCATCTCATAGCCCCCCGCCTCCTAATGACATGCTGTGACCAAGGTTAGCCGGTCTTCTATCAATCCGCTTGACGCTCAGGGCTATCGGCAGTGCTCGAGTTACCTTTGGTACCGGCAGCCAGGCGACCTCAACTCAAGGAATGGCCTCTCCATTCATAAATCGTTGTTGGACCAGGACCACTGAGATATGCATCCGAACGTCACTCCATGAGAGCAGCGGCTGTTTGTACGGTGCAGGAATATAAGGGACGGGCACAGTGACCATGCAAAATGCTCCCAAAAACAAGGTTTTTCTGCGCGCGCGCGCGCGCGCGCGGAAGGACGCGAAAGCTCCGCGGAAGCACTTCTTTGCAGAAGGTTCGCGGAAACACATGTTTCTTATGTCACCCATCGTTCTAGGCAATTCGCGGTAGTTTTCGAGGCCGTCTCGCGGAAGCACGTCTTGAAATCCAACCAACAAAGGTTCACGTACAAAGCAGCAGGTATGTGGAAGGCCTTCGCGGAAGGTAGTCACTGTGATGGAACCATGTAGGAATGAGAACAGTGGCGCAAGAGATGGCCTTCACGCAAGGACACGGTCCCGACCATAGGTTCCTTCGACCGGGTCGTAGCGGGAAATGTGCAGGCAGGCTTTCACTGCTTCCTCTTTCGGTGGTTCACGCCTGCAAGCAGCAAACCAAAAAACAACTTCAAGCCAGGCGGTCCAGGATGGTCTGCCTGACGCGCTCTGATCCAAAGTTCTGATCTTTTCATTTTTGGGGCTGTGTCGGTGCCAGGCTGGAGCGTCCTTGTGCCGGCCAAGAGTCGCCACCAAGACAAACAGTGTTGCACCTACATGCCAGTCCAATGCTGTGATACCAAGGCGTAGAACTTGTAGTGTGCAAGGATGACTGTGGAGCAGCGTCTCTTGACGCTCTATGTGAGCTCTGTGATGGTAGACGTTCCGGTCTTAGTGTCGAGCTGTCGAGCTGTGGAGCTGTGCAGGGAAAGAGTCAGCAAGCAAGGAGAGGTCTGTCTTTGCTGAAGTTGCGATTGCCATCAGCTTATGTTTACCGTAGCTCAGAGCTGCTCAAGCAGCTGCGGGGCGCCCCGTAGTTCCCATCCTTCCTGGAGGCCCGGCTGTGGGTATCAGGGAATTTCGGGCAAAGTGGGCTTGTTTTTGTCGTGTTTGCCCTGAAGGTGATGGGCATAGTTGTCAGCGCAGAGCATGCCAGTGGCGGGGGACATGGGCCCCCTCCTGGGCACGGTGCTGCCCATGGACATGGTGCGGTTCATGGGCACGGTGCAGTTCATGTGGTGCAGCATGGACATGGACATGGACAAAACGGAGTTGTTGGACATGTTGGACACGCTGCGCATGACCAGCATGCCGACAATGGCTGTGAGAACGTAGGCGGGCCAGGGCCACTCCTTCCCCAGCTAAGTCTTTGGAACTACCTGACATGCCAGTCCTGTAACAAACACCAGCTGCCTTTCCTAACCGAACATGCGCGCAGGAACTATTTGTTTTGAACCGACGGGAAAGAAGACCGTCGCGACCTGGAAGTGGGTTGGTGATGGCAGGGGTGCATATGAAAAGGTAGAGAACTTCGTCACTGGGCCGCAAGTGAAGAGAATGTAGCATTGCCTTTTCAAGCTGGGCCTTCACATACCTTCACTTGATTTCGGGAGCTCTGAGGCATATGTTGGCGAGAACGCCGGTAGCTTCGAGCGGAGGCTTGACGTGTCCTATACCAGGTGGAAGACCCGCGGCTGTGTCGTGGGCCTTTTATGCTGCTTACTCATTGGTCTAGCTTTGCTGCTCGTCTTCCGGGAGTTCTTCCGCCATTCACAACAGGACGTTCCTTCCCACGATGACCTTTGGGATTGCACCAAGGATTATTGGGACTGGGAGACAGCTTGGACGGTCCCACAACAAAACTGGTGCTGCGCGCACACCGGCCGGGGCTGCCCAACCACACCGCCACCAGCAAGCAGCCCCGCTTTTGACTGCGATGCGGCATTCAACAACTGGCGGGCTGCCTGGTCCAATCAGAAGAAGGCATGGTGCTGCCACAAAGATGGTCGTGGTTGCCCTCAGCACATTACCACGCCTTACAACTGCCACACTGGTGATTTGGAAGCATGGACCTTAGGAAAGCGTCTTTGGTGTTGCCAGAACTACCAAGTGAGCTGTCCGGACTATCACCCAACGCTACCATACGATTGTCAGGCTGGCCTATCCAATTGGGAGGCCGGCTGGTCTGTGGCAAAGAAGGCCTGGTGCTGTGCCCACTACAAGCTGGGCTGCGCCCATGTCACTCATCCTCCCAGCCCCTTGCGCCCCGTGCCGCATGGGCAGTATGATTGCCATGCTGGATACAGCAACTGGAGGCTTGGATGGTCAGCACATAAGAAGCTTTGGTGTTGCAATCGCTTTCACAGAGGATGCTCAGATGCACCGTACGACTGCGATGCGGGATATTCCAATTGGCAGTCCGGATGGTCGGAGTCCAAGAAGACTTGGTGCTGTCATCACACTCACAGAGGTTGCGCAGTGGCAACATTGCCATATGACTGTGACGCCGGATACAGCAATTGGCAAAAGGGGTGGTCAGCTACCAAAAAGTCCTGGTGCTGTATGCGATTCCATCGTGGCTGCGCGCATGCAGTGTACGATTGCAGCGTGGGATATTCACATTGGATGTCAGTGTGGACTTCAGCCAAAAAGACATGGTGTTGTGATCACTCCCATCGAGGCTGTGCAGTTCAGGCACCCTATGACTGTGATGCTGGCTTTACCAACTGGCGAGCAGGATGGTCAAATGACAAAAAGCACTGGTGTTGCCAGCACACTCACCGGGGCTGCTCCCACATGCCTTATGACTGCGATGCCGGCTACTCCAATTGGCATCATGGCTGGTCTGATGCGAAGAAGCATTGGTGCTGCCATCATTTTCATCGGGGCTGCAGTGCGCAAGGATCTTACGACTGCACTGCCGGCTACAGCAATTGGCAGAAGGGTTGGTCCAACAGCAAGAAGTACTGGTGCTGCAAACACTTCCAGAAGGGCTGCGCCGAGGCCGCCGAATATGATTGTGATGCAGGCTTCTCCAACTGGAAGCGAGGCTGGTCACCTTCCAAGAAGAACTGGTGCTGCCTCCATGGTGGCCGTGGATGTTCCGGCAGCCTAGGCCACAGTGCAGCTGGGCATGTGTGGCAGCATCATTGGATCCGGCACTCGGAACTTCCATTGCATTCGCTTGAGACAAGTGATCTGACCTTGGGCCATGCTCCTAGCGATTCGTTTGAGACAGCTGACTTGACCTTGGGCCACGCTGCTCCGCCTGCTGGCATGTGTCAGAGCGGCTATCACTGGGCCCACGTCACCCTCCATGGCAGATGGAGGTGGGTCCAAATCCCGAATGATCAAGTCCTTGATTTCGGAACTCCTCCCAGAGACCCAGACCCAGGACATGCCTGGCAGTGGCTAGAACACCACGGCACAGGCCACTGGCATCAGGTGTCCATGATCATGCCTCGCAGATGAGTTTACCGTGTCCTGCATCGGCGTGTTACATGTTTTACTGGGATGCCAGAAGCAGTGCCCGAGGCTGTTTTCTTAATTTGTATGTAGAGCATGTTTCTTCTCGACTGGTCAGCTCGGGCGCTGCTAGGCACCTCATGTCTTAGATTCGTGCGAACTCCAAAGTTGAGGGCATGAGTCGCGATTCAGTCTTTGTTTTTGTCGTATGAGACGACCCTTGCACTAGCATCGTGAGCTACGAACGAACTCTGCGCACCGTATCACTGCCCTGTTAGCCAAAGAGCAGAGCCTGAACCCTGTACTTGCAAAAAGCTTGGGAGAGCAAGCTGTTGCGACGCGGAGAAGGCATACGGAAGAGACTTGGGGTTTGTCAGTACCTTTGTGCTGAGGTCCCAGTGCCAGTCCCTGCCTGTGACCTACAGAGTTCAGTTCTGAAGCACACAGGACGGCCTGCCTTCTTGGATTGTGGACCGCGTTCCAGTGCAGGTTCGAGAGCCACCACCGGTGCCGGCGCCACGGCCAAAAGCGCCTGCTCCGGTTGCAGCCCCACACACCATCATGATGAGAAGCAGATCCTTTATTTATCATGCAAAGCACGAAGAGTCTGTAATCCATGCATCAGGATGGGCCCGGCCACTCACGCATCGCACATCCCAAACTTGATCACCGATGTTTGGACTGGTCACAGGAAACTTTGTCAAGGGAGTAGGTAATCGGCAATTGCACGTGAAGGCGCAGCTTCCGATCTGATCTAAGCACTTTTTCCTTTCATTTCAGAACTCCGAGAGATTGTTCGCGGGAAGACCTTGGTGACGAAACAATTTGCTTCGGTGGATCCTATGCAGGAAGCTGGGGAGAAGAGGTGCGAATCACGCAGCAGTTTGAGAGTGCTGGAATGTAACTAAAGCTTCCGAACGTGTGTCGTTGGATTTGGTGTATTTGCTCATAAAATGGTTGGCATCTTGATTCTAATGGAGTACTCTGGGAGTTTCTCAAGCTGGCAGCACAAAGTAAACATGCGTCGAAAGTCAATCGTCCCCTAAACGTTAGTTCTTGATCGTCTTTTGGAGCGGAATGCTGTCATCCAGTGAGATATTAAAGAGAACAAGCTCGCAGGAATCTAGAACTCGCCATAAACGGCCTTTCAAGGCGCTTGAAGATTTTTTCAGCCAGAAACAGGTCCCCCGTGATAGGTAGGGGCATTGAAGAATCTCGCCGTGTTGAATCCTGCTGCCTGCCAATTGCTCCATTGGCCAGCCAATGCCCAGTGAGGTGGCACCTGCTCCGTTCGTACCGCCAGCAGAGGTGGATGTTGCAAAGGTGTTGTGCCGAGCTTTCAAATGATCTGCGTTGCGTAATTCTGGAATGCTTACGCACTGTGCGGCTGGTCTCAGGCTCTCAAGCCCAAGAAAAAGAAAAAGCCCAAGGCAAGGGGTAAATGTTCAGGAGGGTGCTTCATTTGGCAAGCTATCTGGAAGCTTTAGCAGTAGCGGGTCGTTCAGGCAAAACAGTTGCGAACATAGCTCAGCACTTGTACTTGATCGACCTCACAGCTGGGTGCTGAGGATGATGAACGCCCAGCCGTGCGCCCTAAATCTCGCCCAGAGGGGCCAGAAGCTTGACTTCAAACGCTCGCATGAGTCAGGACAGATTTTAGCAGTCCACATTCACTTGCAGCCAGAGGCTGGCAACAATTTCCGGCGAGGTCCACCTCCTGGCAGATGAATTCCAGTCAGAACCTCTGCTGATCATGAGCAGAAGATTGTGCAGGCATGGCCACCAGCTCTGCCACGCGATGATAGCGATGTGCGGACACCGAGGGAACGCATGTTGGGAAGGTCCGAAACACTGCACACGTGGCAAGGCATCGGATGGGGGTCAAGACATTCCGCCTCCAAAGGCGCAGGCCCTGGGAATAGGCTGGCAACAGATTCGAATTCCTGTCAGAAAGACCAAGGCTCCTGCAGCCAAGGGACCCGGCCCGGGCCAGCGTGTGTGCCAGACTCAGGCTGTTGTCAGCGGCCTCTGCAGCAATAAAAGAAGATCACCCAGACAAGCCATTGGCATGTTCCGAGGCTAACATCACCTCGGCCTGAACGGCGCCGCTCCGACAAGGTTGGTTCTCATTCCACTTGAGCAGCCCTACACTGTGGATGATTCTTCTGTTCCCAAATCTACGTGGCCTGTGGGCATCAATGTGGGCTGTGAATGCTAGTGTCAACGGGTAGTTGCTTCACCAGGTCGAAGTGTTGAGCGACGAGGAGGGCCCAGCCATGCGCTTGACACAGGCCTGCCTGTCACGCAAGCCTTGCCGCCTGGATCCGCCTGGATGCCGGGCTGTTTCAGGCGAACGTGGCAAAGGTGTCTGCAGCTGCTGCAGTGGCCGTGGGCGCTCCGGAGCCCATACTATTGTCAACGAAGTTGTGACTTGTAGCTTCACCAAGTTGACATGCGTATTTTTTTTGCGCTGAAGGAGCCCGGTGATGTTGACCCAGACTTGCGCAGCATCTCTCCGATTTCTACGCGTCTTGGAGCAACCTTAAAAGCTGCAACGTCCCGTTTTGTCAAGTTGGACATGCTAAGCCGAGCAGCGCAAAGGCCTGGAGTTTTCCCTTGGCAAGCAGGAAAGAAGGCCACCGTTTTTTCGAAACTTGGAGCATGATGCAACTTTACAGATGTATGCAGGCAAAGAAGAAGCCAAGGTGGGGCATTTGCAAACACAGCAATTTGCAGTGAACTGCTCTGGACAATTCGCTCTGGTCAGCACATGGCGAATCAGTGAATGCGGCCTCGACTCAGGGCAGAGTCGCCATGCAGTGCAGATGCCCAGGTAGCTGCCTAAACAGCGATGTGCTTGGCACCTGAGCTTCCCTGGCGAATTCTTGCAGGTCCGCAAGAAGCGCAAGGGAGAGACAGGTAAAGCCACGAAGGCGTCTTTCCTCTGGATGCTCTCATTGAACTCAGCCATGTGCCTGCCTTGCGTGCAGGCTTCCAAGAAGCTGGTCTTGACAGCACCAGGACAAGGCTGTCGGGCCCATCAGGGTTTCAGCCCCTACACTTGTAGCCAGAGCAGGCATGCAATGGGACCCGTACATGATGCCGAGAGCGACAGAAGCGTGTGGGACCAAACTTTGACAGTTCTCAGGGCATAACGCGTTGTGACATGGGCCTCTGTGGGAGATCACAGCGCTGCGGTGAAATTCCTACAGTCTACTGTTCATTGTTGCGGATCACTCGGGCAAGGTCTCCATCTCCTTGTTCAGCAATACCAGGAAAAGCCAGCCGCGCAGCCAGATCTTGTGCCACCTCAATCTCAGCCAGTCTAGAGAGTTAGCTGCCCAACATTGCCCAACCTTGCCCCATGACGATGATGGACCTTATCCCCCTAGGGGTCCATTACACGCACTCGTTCAATTTTGAAAGAGCACGAAGGGGATGGCGTTGTAAGTGCAAGCTAAGCCTCAATATGCACTCTCGCGAAGCGGCTTGGAAACCGTGCGGCGAGGGCATGTAAGGCTTTTCGCTAGGATGCTTTCTTTTGGCTTTGCCATGTTCTCTCTCAAAAAAACGCAATCTCAGACATGCAGCCATGCCTGAGCTAAGAGTCTGTTGCGCTTCAAGTCAGCTCAGGCCGTGGCAAGTCTTCCAAGGCGGGAGTTCAACTCAAAAGCTGTGTGGCTGTGCCTGGTCTAGCTCAGGACATGCAAGACCGCGCGCCACCGAGTTGAAGTAGCTGCTTTCAAGTAGCCACTCACTCACACCTTGCACGTTTTGCAGCCACGCAGAAGGTTTTGACCCGGCCAATCGTGGAAAGGACGCCAAAAAGCCAGGTGGGAGATGAGAAAGGCTGTGTGGGTCCACTGTCCGTGTGCTGCTTGCAAGGTGGAGAGAAGAAGAAGCGCAAGGAGAAGGACGGCGGTCTGCGAAAGGAAAAAGCTGGCCGCAGAAGGGATTTCAGATAGTTTTCTGTTGTTCTTCGTATGTACTTCTTCAATCTTCTCAGTGTGATTTTTCTATCGTACTTCTCTATTGAGGTTTTGCTTAGCTGCATTTAGCTGTCTTTTTGTTTCCAGCTCTGGCTTTTGCTTCTGTTCGTCTCAATTTATTTCTATCTGTTTTTGGTTGTGTGTCTTTTTTCGCTGCGTATCTCTATCTGCTCTATCTCTGGATATTTCTGTACGGGTTTATCTCTAGTCGCTTATCTCTATCTATTCATCTATATGTATCACATTGGAACTCTCTCTCTCTCTCTCTCCCTATCTTTATTCCTATTGATTCCGCCATCTACTTTTAGCTACTTCTCTCTCTTTCTCTCTCTCTGAGTCCGTCTGTGTATTTAGAGATTTCTACTTATTTGTTTATCTGAGTTTATATGATTTATTTATCTACTTAATCTACATTATTCTATCTCTTGATGAGATGTTCTCTGGTTCTGTATTCAGATATGCCACACCCATGGGAGACACAGAGATGAATGCTTGAGCCTAACAAGGGGATGAAGAGTAAAGAGCCCTAAGCTGTGAAGGGACAGGATGGTCACCCAAGAATTGCATGCCGTAGTGTGCTTGAAGCCAAACCAAGCAAGCCATTCTTTGACTTCCTGTGCTGGTGAAAGTTTCGCACTTCTTTTCATACGAAAGCTCACTACCAGACCTCATCCATTGAGCAGAAAGTGAACAACTACCGTGAGACAGGCGACCGCTTTCATACACAAGAGATTTGAACCGAGATTTTGTCAAAGGAAGCCATAGGATTCGCAACGAAAGATCGGACTTGCCCACATGTTTTAACATGCCATTCGAGATTTGATAAGGCAAGCCGCCGCAGACATTGGGTGGCTTAACATCTTCAACGGACCTCTTGTGATTGGAGATGAGCCGGAGATGAAATTTAATTTCTGGACTTGATATTTCCTGCCGGCCTTTGCCTACTTTTGTTTGCCTTAGCCTTCGCATACTCAGGGGCCTCGAGTCCAGATCACCTTGTTTGCACGTTGCAGACTCCGCGAGTCTTGGGGCCCAGCAGCACGTCCGCGATGTTGGAGTGCTGGCAGGCGAGATGCTAGGTCCCACCTACTTCGAAGCCCACGGCTGCAGCCGCTTCGCGCAACTGCCGGGTGCAAGGAGCGGAGATGCGCCAACTCATGCGCACAACATCGCACGATCATCTGCAGAGCATGTCTGCAGCCCAGAGCCCGCAATGCACAAATGGATGGGTCCTGGGCGGTAGCAGTCTGGGGCACGCTGCTGCATGCTAGTTGTGGCGATGATGGCCCCGTCCCGGGCGGAGAACGCAAAAGCGGCGGCACGCAGGCCGCATATGTGACCTTTTTTTCGGGCGCTGATTACCTCGAACAGACCCGCAACCGGACTGCTCAGGAATGACTTAGAAGTTTTTAGGATTCCGCCTGCGCCTCTCATATGTTGTACACTGGGTTTTTCTATTCTTGAAGCTTTTTCATCCAGGGCGATGCTTGAATCCAAATCCCGACAATTTATCCCCTGATCCCACATCCCACGCCACCAGACGATAGAAAACCCTTGGCTGCTCAAGCAACAGCCCTGTGCAACATTCCGGGCTGCATTCCCGAATCGGTGCCACTGCTCGCCCAAATGCCCATGTCTGGCTGTGGTGTTTGTGTTGTGTTGTGTTGGATCTGGCCATCATCCTGAGTTGTTGTGTTAAGTGTTGTTCTTTCAAGTCAAACGCTTGTCCGCTCCCCCCGCGAAGGGACAGTGATTGTGCCCGCTGCAACATGGTGCTTTGCAGCATGTTGTGGCAAAGTGCAAAGCAAGAAATAGTAACGCGCTTGTGGTTCGAAGGGCAAGCTTCTATAACGAGAGGCGGTGAAACCACGCGCCCGGTGCCTCGCCACGCTGTGCCCCGCAACTTGCGGTTTGCGGCACAAGCAGGAAACTGCCTTGCGTGCCCCGCAGCTTTTCATGCAGAATGGAGTCTTGACGGTCTGGAACTCTGGTCCAACCAGAAACAAGGGAAGTGGGAACTTGCGCAAAAAAATCAGATCGAAACCCAAAGGAGAAATACGGGGTGGGCCTCCTTGGCATTTTCCAACGTGGCACGTCTTGTGAACTTCTGAAGATGGAAGTTCGACGCGAAGATGGCGGACTCGAAGGCGCGAGCTGTACCAGCGCGATTCCGTTCAGCGGCATGGCAAGCAGCTTGCCACTGGTGGGCGTATCCAGGTGATGCCCTCTGAATTGGCGCGTGAGTGCATGGCGCCACTGTTCCAGGTGTTTGCGGAGCCCCGGTTCATCGTCCGCTGGCGGATGGCCGTTTGCCCTGGCCTGGGTGGCAGGTGAAAGTCGCTTGGTTGAGACCACGGATGCAAATGCACCGGATATGGTTGCACACATTTGACTACGTTGGAAATGACCGTTGCCGCAACACACATTGAAGCCAGAGGTTCCGCTTCTTGAGTGCCGCCTATCCATGTGGAAGTATGGAAATCGTCGCTATTCTGGCAAAAGTACCCCTGTGCCACAAATCGCAACGAATGTTAACCCACACGTTTTGCTAAAACGTTGGAACCGTACCGATCTTCTCGAAACACAATAGATGAGACAACATTCTCGTACGTTCTGTGCATTCCTCGACATCCAGAAAGCCTTTGATGTTGCACGGTGTGAAAGCACACTGTTGAAACTGCATCGGGCTGGAACTCTTGCGGGCCTATGGCATTCGGTCCATGATTTTGTCTCAGACCGAACAGCAGCGTCCTCATTGACAATTGCTTCTAAGAGGGGCGGTTGTTATGAGTTATCTTTCAAATTTGTTGATAAATGGGTTGGCCGACGCAAGCAAATGCGTGTGCTTGGGCGTTGCTTGTGGTCCTGAACCAAGTGCCCCGCGCCTACAAGGCATACAAGGCCTATGGCACGCAGATGACCTGTCTGTCTTATTTGAAGCAACGTGCGTTGGATGCAGCAGCTGCTCGGGCTAATCGGGCTAACGCATGGCGTTTCCACTTCAGATCCCAAGTCATGGATTTTCGTGGAGGGCGCAATCGTGCCAAAGTTTCATGTTGGCGAATATGCCCCATCCCATGTGAAAAACTACGCATATTTACTCATAGAGGTAACTTTGCATGAATGTCTATTTAAAAGTCACGTTGATGAGTTGTTGCATCGAGGCGAGCACAAGATTGGTGCGTGTACTTTCGGGACAAATTCTGCCAATCTGCCACTAAGCTTTGTTGAAAGCATTCTATTTGAAAATGTGTGCGCCCTTAAGCGTGTTTCGGCTTTGATTTTGTTACCGCTGTCCCTCTGCTTCACGCCCTCCAACCGATGGGGTCGGCTCTTGCTGTGTTGTGGTCCGTCGGCAATTAGGATGGCCAGACATTGACACAGCTCGCTTGGCTGCAAGTTTGTGGGTGCGACTCTTTGGGAGGTTGCTGTGCCAGCCGGATCATTCACTATGCCGCTTTGCAGGACCATGCACGCGTTCGACGTGTTCAGAAATAGGCGTGATTCATCCGTCGTCCCGTTGTTCGAGTCCCAATCCCCCCGTTCAATCGCATCATTGGTGGACGACCGCCATGTGCAATATCAACGCTGATTCCACTAGTGCTACGTTGAAACACAGTGCATGAGTTCCCTGGCGCAATTCTTGCTGTGGCAGCCACATCCGCGTGTGCATCCCGTCGTTTATTGCCAGCATACATGCCTGTGTCGTGATCATGCCCGGCATTCTGGGGTCTAGCAACATGTGGGCATCTGGCGTTGCTCGCCAACACATTGCAAATTCGTACCGAACTGTCGGTTCTATACCAGCGGCAGTCATTTGAACACGCCTTGTTGTTACAACGGCTGGGTCACATGGGTTTGGGCTTGGCAACCTGGGCAGCATGAGGCGCGGGCAGACCCAGGCTTATGTGGAACATCAGTCTTGATTTTTTTGCACGCTGGAG